CCCTAGAGACCAATCCCAACTCATTTAACTCTAAGGTACAGCTCCTTCTCGATCTTCTCAACAAACAAAGAATGCATTGCTTGCTCTTTGTTTCAATAAATATTACACCCTATATTTTGTACCAAGATCATAAGGCTCAAATCTATATAATACTGACATTCAAATTGATTTCTATTGGTTGAGAATGTATCTGCTAGATGCCTTCAATAAGTATACGTAATTCCCATCCTCATTTGCTGTTTGAATTCATGGTGATGGAAGTTGAAATTTTGGACGCCACTAATTTATTTCATGCAAACATTAGCTGGCTGCACCATAAAGGTGTTTAGAAAACTTGCCATGCTTGTTTGTAGACTCTGGTGGGCTAGCATTCTATATTTGCATGGTTGTAATTGTAAATGGTAAAACTAGATGATCCATATCTGCTAGACCAGTGCCAGCTGCGCTAACATCTTTAGCGTGCTGTGTGGCCTAAATTTCATCCACTTTTTTCACAACGCTATGTAATTGGAATAATTTGTCACTGACCCTATCATGTAAACCCTTTCGCAGGATACTCCTTTGATCTTGACTGGCCCAAAACGAGGACTTGCATTATTAGACGCTATGTATGTTGAGATTGATTTGAAGATAAAGGGTCGTCATGGGCAGGACAGAGAACTCAGCAAAGGAGTGTTGCTTATCAAAGGCACGGTGCACCGATCACTGAAGGAATGTAAGCTTCAAACCAATTTCTCTTTCAACAAGGCTCAGTACCGTGGACGTGACGTATGCTGTTGCCCTATTGCAGTGGTGGCAACTATTGCAGTTGAAGTTATTGAGGGACATTTTGATGGAAGAATCACTGCCCACACCCACACCTCCAGCATCAGGAAAAGCGCTTTATGATAGCAAAGTGCCTGGCGATGGTCATAGGCTCTGTTTGGGACCACGGCCCACGCGCTGCGGTAGCCAGGAATCCATGGTGCTTTGGTTCAATCTTGTGACCGTAATCTCTTACGTGGTTGCAAGAATCATGGATGTCGCAAGCCGTTTAGCAGGATTCTTGCGGTTGGCGATGGGAAATCCAATTTTAATCGGTTCCAAGCAGGGCAATAGAGCTATCCAACTTAAGCGACCTGTTGTGTCCGTTTTTGTAAAAGATTGGCTGATAATTGTTGCAAAGACGGGTGATGGTAAATCTATACACATGATTGGATTTTCTCCAAAGAAGAAATGCAGAGAAGAAGCTGTAATTATAGTTGGTGTCACTAAGATGCGCGTGAAGGTTGCTTGGTCAATAATGGACCCCTAACATGTTTGCAGATAAGCATCATTTTCATTGGTAGATGTGCATGCTTCGGTGTGGCCATATCTGATTAGTGATGTTTGCGTCTACCAATAATATAAGTTATGCAATACCTAGCTGGACTCCCGACCCATAAATTAGATGGTTTCTATAGCTATTAATTAGTCTTCGAACTAATAAGAAAAATGTTGATGTGTCACTATAGTTATTGAAGAGAAAGAAGGAAATGGTTTCTTATATAGAAAACCATGTCTACATGAGAACCAAAATACAAAGAGATGTGATCAGTAGATGCTATAAGAAAGAAGATAGATGATTGGATAAATATTTTATTTGTAGAAACTATCCACTAAGAGCATAGTTTACGTAGGTGGTGTCTATATTAGTTAGCAAGTATGGAAACTATCTCATAGTTTTTCTGGGTTGCGACTGCCTTAATGTGTGTAAACTGTTGTGTTAGTCTTATTAGGACAGTCTCAGCCTTGAAACTTGAGAGAAGTTTCCATAGCAAATACATCACCGTTAAATTAGAAACTACACATCCTATTGCATTGCATCCGTTTCTTAATGTGAAAAATGTTGATGTGTCACTATAGTTATTGAAGAGAAAGAAGTAAATGGTTTCTTATATAGAAAACCATGTCTACATGAGAACCAAACTACAAAGAGATGTGATCGGTAGATGCTATAAGAGAGAAGATAGCTGATTGGATAAATATTTTATTTGTAGAAACTATCCATTAAGAGCATAGTTTACGTAGGCGGTGTCTATATTAGTTAGCAAGTATGGAAACTATCTCATAGTTTTTCTGGGTTGGGACTGCCTTAATGTGTGTAAACTGTTGTGTTGGTCTTATTAGGACAGTCTCAGCCTTGAAACTTGAGAGAAGTTTCCATAGCAAATACATCACCGTTAAATTAGAAACTACACATCCTATTGCATTGCATCCGTTTCTTAATGTGGGTCTGTAATAAGTTTGATGTTTCTCCCTTCATCTGCACTCCCTCTCTTTCTCTCTCCCGTCTAGTCTCTTTCTCCATCCTCTATCTTATCCGAAACGATGGGTGAGGTCGGAAGATGGAAGATGGCACAATGCGGGTGGTAGGGGTGTGATGACGGGCGGGCGCGTGGGGTGCTAGACGAGGCTGTGAACGCATGGGCGGTGTAGGGTGCAGCTAGAGCTAGGAGAGCGCGGAGCTGCAGCCAGATGAGGGCACGACAGATCTGGTGGTGTGGGGTGTAGCTGGTGGTGCGGGTGTGGAGTTGTGGCCGGATGAGGGCATGGGTGGCGTGGAGTTTGATTGGCGAGGCGGGCTAGCACCGATGGGCGTTCGACAGTGTTCAGGGCAACCGGGTCAACCATACGGTGCGGTGGAGGCATGGACAGCTATGCGGGGTGGCAGAGGCGTGCAGTGGCTAGGTGAGTAGGGTGGCAAAGGCATGGCTGCCGACCGTAGAGAGCGCGTGTAGCAGGTGGGACCCACATGAGGAAATCACATCTCGCCCCCAATGCAAAACCATCAGTTTTTGCTGCCTTGGAGCTCGAGTCAACATTTGATATGAGAAACGATTTCCTCCAATGGTACCCGCAATGCCCCATCAAAATTTGAAATTAAAGACCGGAAGAAGAAACTAGACATGTTTCTCCTTATTGAAGGTTGAATATGACCCCCTCTAAATTCCCATTGCGTCCCCCACTGGCCCAAAGCCTGGCTTTTGATTCTAGTTCCTCATAGGTGAGCCTAGCGGCGAAACCATCCAGATGAGGTTGTATGTCCAGATGAGGCGTGACTTACCATGGGCTATGTTCTCACTAGAAAGGTAGGACAAGTACCATTCGCTGGGTGCATGAAAGCACAAGAAGGTGCTCAAGTTTTAGTTTTTTTAGGGGCAGGGGGGCTTGGGTGGAGGCAGGGGTGTTTCCCCACTTGACTGTTTTCATTCCATTGATCTAGGTCTCAAAGATCTATCATAGTCCAAGAGTTTTACAACGTTTGCATGTGTGGAGTCTAAGTTGCCATAATGAAGAAATTACACCAAAAGTCTCCAATGTTCCTATCTCGTCTCCGTAGCCGGTATTTCCAAAGCTGAGCTTTGGCTCTACATCTAATGAGAGTTTAACGGATGTTCGCATACCCTTCACTAAATAAGACCTCATTCCTTAGCTTCCACAGCTGCCAGAATGCAATGAATGTCCCAAAGTGTTTTGTTGGGATTTGCTGGGGGCATTCCAGATAGTGTGAGTTGGAGATTATGGATGTAACGTCTGTTGGAAGCCGAATCCCAATCCTTTCCTTGAACTAAACATCAAATGGACCGACAACAATAATGTGACCTGCCATTTCGTTAGGGTTAGGGTTTGACTCCGAAATGGATCGAACTCTTGTTGATTTCTTTTATTTCTTTTCAATGCTTTACCCCATACTAGATCTATACACTGGCAACCTTAGCTCTAGTAGCATTGTTAGATCATAGCAGTGCCTCTTAAACCGTAGATCGGGGTAAGCATCTTACTTAGAGTTCCTCTAGATCGCCCTGGCGCAGTTGCGCCGCAGCCACGTGGACGCCGGTGTCGAAGGAGCTCAGCGCGGTGGAGAGGAGGCGAGGTCCAGTGGCCCGGTGGTGACACTGCAGGGGCGATGCAGAGGTGACGGCGGAGTCGGTGGAGCTTCTTGTCGCTGGCAGCACTCACTTTAGATCGGATTAGGTTTCTCTGTGGGTGGTTACAGCGGCTCCGGTCAACCTCGTTGTCCGAGCCCTGGTCCCCACACCTCTCTTTATAGTGCTGTGCGATAGGGGTCCACCAACCTTATTAGGGTTGAGCGCCCCCGATCAGGACACAGATCTAAAGGCCCTTGGATCTATTGGTGGAGATCAACTAACAATAAACACACCTCACATCGACGCTGTCCTTGACAATGATAGTGCCATAGACACGGATTGGGTAGCCAACATCCGAACAGCCTATCTTGACGGACAGGAAGTTTACAGCCGTACACAGCCAGAGAAAGTCACTCTCTTTTTTGTAGGGGGAATCGATATATCTCATCGGACCAATGGGTGCTGTCATTCATGTGGAAATACAAAGGAAATTAATGAGATACTAGATCATCAGTTGCATCTATATCATCATGCTTAATTGGAATTGAATTGAAGATTGGTACAAATTAACGCGGAGGGAGGGAGGGAGCTCAATCCGCACAGTCAGAGCCAGCAGCCATATATACAGAAGTGAAAACCATACAGGAGTGAAAATTTAGCTCCAATTGATCCAAAACCCAAACACGTAGGGAAAAAAAAGACAAAAGGAACAATTTCTAGCATGTGGAATCAAATCAGCACATTGTTACATATATATTATAATAAATACTAGTTGCAGAATTAATCAATTTGTCATAGATGGACTGCAGGTGGAGCTAGGATTGAACTGCAACGGGTGGGTGGAGGAACATGCAAAAGGATGGAATTGAAAGAAAGGGAAGGGCCGCGGGCAAGCGACTTACACTCTTCGTCGAGGTCGAATTTGGTGAGGTCGACGAGGGTGTACCGGTTGTAGTAGCGGCCCCCCTGCTTGGGATCGAAGTCGACGATGCGAGCAAAGGCCTCCATCGCCCGACCCCTGGGGTCGCCCTCTTGCGTAAGGCGGCGCGCGTAGCTCACCTCGTCGTTCCTCAGCCTCTCGGTCGCCGCCGCTCGCTCGGCCTCGGTCATTCATGAGAAATCCGGCCTCGGCGACATCTCAAGGGCAAGCCGTTGAACCTCCTTTTGCAAGGCCTTGCGCTCTTCCTTGAGCTTGGCCACCTCTGCCTCTGACAAATCCTTGACCATCATCAACCTCCTGGAGATGGACCCAATGTGCATATGGATCGACTCCTGGCGGTACTCGACCTCTCGCAACTCTTCGTACCACGCTGCCGCCGCTTCCACCGCCATGTATAGCCGCCGCCGACCAACGAAGGAAGCAAGAAAACTAGCCGATCTAGGGTTTGTGACTTGTGAGCGCGGCCCCTAACTCTATGTTAGATCTCCAGCCAGACCTGCTAAAACCTTTTTTACCTTGAAACATTTTTTACCTATATATAGTAGTGTGATGTGACACTGATGATCGTGATTTTCTAATTTCTATACGGATCATCCAGGCCCACTACTACACGCTGTTGTCTCAAGTCTAAGGTCTTGTCTGGCAGAGCTCCACGAGCTCAAAATTCACTAAAAATAACTCCACTACATAAAGAGTTACCAAATGGTCTAACTCCATGAAATTCAAATTCACCAAAACGGTGGATCTGAAGACCACATTCACCATTTTGGTGGGGCTCGTCAAGGGGTGCAGTTTCGCGGAGTTGGAAAAAATTTACCCATCACTGCCACTCGCTAGACAAAGATACCGGTTCGTTTCTATTTTTATTCTTCTTCCGTCACGATCGTGGCCGCGCGCATCCTGCCCCTGCGAACTCCGGACCGCCGCAACCCAGGCCACGCGCGCCCGCACCTCGCCCCCCCCGGCGGCCCACCGCGCCTGTCTCGTCATCATCGCCGCCACCCCGCCTGCAAGCTCCGTTCCCGGCCGCACGCGCCTGTGAGCCACGGTCGCACGCCGCTAGCTCCGCCGTGTGCGCCATGGCAGGCCGTGGGAGAGGTCTCCATGGCCGGCCGCAGGAGCCCCAGGCCACGAGCACAAAGCCAATGCTGCGAGCACCTCCTAGTCACCCACACTCCTCTCACAGCCGCTGATGAGTCCGCTCGCCTCCGGCTGGCGGGCGCCATTGTCTCCAACATGCGCACACTGATCCTCGCGTACAGCACCGGGTCCGCCTCGCTCAGGACTCGCCGCCATCGGCTAGCGCTCGGCATCGCAAGCTCGACTCACCACTCCACCGCCGCAGCACCAAAGTCACCGGTGTCCCTCTAGGGCACCTTAGCATGGCCCACGAGCTCGGACCCCAGGACCCGCCCTAGTAGCGTTGTGCGTTGCTGCCGACTCCGCACCTTGAACAGGTAGTGCTGGCTGTGCCCCCATGCTGAGTGCCCTCCGCCATCCGCACCCCCACATTGTGCCCCCTGCGCTGGCCACGCCCCCACGCTATGGCCCTACGCCAGCCGTGCCCCCTACCCCGGCCGCGCCTCCACGCCCATGCCCGAGCTAGAGGATGAAGAAGGTGGAAAAAAACTGTTGTTTGGACAAGGAAAAATCATGCCATTCCATTCAAAAGGCCCTTGCGTGGATCTGGAGCTGCTGGGTAGCCAAACAGTTCCCTGATAGATCTACGGTGGACATCAGATCTATTAGTGGAGCTGCTCCATGGTGAATCACAGATCCAGATTCACTTTTTTAGTTGTGGAGCTCTGCCAAACAGACCTAATGTTTACGCATATCTCCATCAAAGCCAATACCCCAATTCAATGCTCCTTCTCTGTCTCCATCAAAAAAAGAGAAAAAAAAATCTCATTTACCCTCTAGTTTAAGCGTATCTAAAGTTTATTCTAAGTTAAACTATACTAAGTTTAACTAAAGTTATAGAGAAGAATATTGATATCTATCATTTACCGGAAGCTCTGCAAGGAAGACGTGGTGCTTTATTTGAACTTGTTAGTTGTTATACCTTATAACTAGGAACTTTCTTTCCTGTTGTCACGGGATATGGAGATTCAGCAGGGAACAAGATAAATAGCAAAGTTCTTGAATTTAATGCCTCAGTGGCTAACGCTTGTAATACTCTGCAGGCCTGAACATGAAGGTTTGTACTGCGATAAGCAGTGCTCAGTACTTCTGGAAGCTTATGACATTCCTCTGCGATGGGGATATGTAGATGGCCGTGGTATCTGCGTTGCTGTGGCTATCCCCCTGCCGTACCTTTGGTGGAGCTTTGCCAAGGAAGATGCTGAGATGCGAACATCAGCAATCCTGAAGAAGACACGATATCGAGCAAATACGACATGTCGCCTGTGTGATAATTTTATGTTTGCACCCAGCCATTGTAAAGATAAAAGTTTCACTTGTAATCTTAGGTAACTTAGTATATGAATTATCGTCTTATTTTTGTTCCACGATGTTTCTTGTCTCAGTTTAGAAGGCCATTTTGTTTAAGGGGCCACTTCTATTCTTTAATTTGTACAGCAACTGAACACTTGGTAGGCTCGTGCTCATCAACTATAATCTCAGAAGATTTTTACCATGGGTTGTTAGTGAGTGGCTATCATAATAATGTGTGTGTGCTATCGTTGACTATTCCTTGTGAGATCCTGAGAAAAGTAGGTGTGCAATTTTATTTAACATGAACAAAAGATTAAAGTTAAAACGCATCGCACACTTAGATCGACATTACTTGCCTTTTTTCTTTCTTCGTCTATTAGAAATCGCGGCAAAAGTTTTGCCGTCATTTCTAAAAAAAAGAAAAGGAAACCATAGATGCTTTAGGGGAAAATAAACATATCAAGGATATTTACTTTCAACGAATAGAGACCAGCAAGGCGGTAAAATATTTGACATTCCTTAATACATCTCAAAACACACCAGATTCGGAATATCATGCAGAGAGTACAGGCGTTCATAAAAGGAATGAGCGACAGAGTGACTCAGCTCGTACAAATGCCAATGCAACGTCAAGCACATTTAGCAGGTCACTGTACCATCTCATGGTCCTTGAAGTACTCATGCTTAAGTGCTTGCCTAGCTGTGATTCTTTTGCTTGGCTCATATTGAAGCATTTTCTGTCAGCAAAAAGAAATAGGTGAACTCAATACAGTGAGGATATATGATGCAGCAGTCATGATCATCAACAGAAATCCATTTGACTTACAGAGAGAAGGTCCAAACCAGCAGGCTCAAGATTTGGGACAATTGTTGCCAGATCCTGGAATGAAGGCATCAGATATATATGACAAACGCAAATTGTGAGCTATGGATGAGGATACACAACACAATGCACTGTCACATGTGCCCAGCGAAATGCTTATGCTGTTGTCTTACCTGAGCTTGCAACTTGGGGAAAATAGCAGCCTTGAAGTCAGGCAAACAACTAACTCCTGGCCAACTTTGTTCATTTGGTGTACCTAGTACCCTTCAACAGTGACCATGATACAAACAAAATCAGACAAGTCTAAAATATGCAAATATGAAATAAGAAATTTAATGCCAGCACAATTATAGAACCTAAATATCTTAAACAGTTGGCTGATCTCAGATTCACCCTCGAATAGTGGCTTTTGGTTCACCATTTCCGCAAAGATACAGCCCACAGACCATACATCAACTGGCCTGGAATACTTTTCCTCTCCAAGAAGAATTTCTGAAGCTCTGTACCATAATGTCACTACCTGAAAAATACTTCCATATTGTGAGTTAATGTGACTAGAATGGACAACAAAAAGTTACATTATACGGGTATAAAATCACAGGGATCCATAACTTTAGCATCCCCCACAATATTTTTTTCCATAACAGGACAATTCAAACCCCCTTTCTCAAGTTAGAGCATAACAAATGTACCTCATGAGTAAATTTACGGACATGAGGTACAAATCCCCTGGCTAAACCAAAGTCTGCTAGCTTCAGTGTATTAGTAGGTCGATGTATCAATAAGTTGAGGTTTCAAATCTCGATGAAGAAATCCTTGAGAATGGCAGTACTCAATGCCACAGAGTATCTGGTGGAGGTATGACTGGAGAAAGAAGAAAATAGTCACATTTCAAAATGCATCCACAGGCACCTCATCCAGTTTCTGGTTATGAGATATAATGGAAATGAGGAAAGGGAAATAAATAAATAAACAAATAGGGTGAAAAACTCTATGAGGATATATGCGGAGCTGAACAGAAGCAAGGCGCAGACTCACAACAGTCACAAAAACTATCTTATTATATTCTGCGCTTCTCACCTTAATCAAAGTCCGATTCTCAGCAAACCCCGGGCAAGAATTCATGAACTTCTTCAGGTCCATATCCATGTAATCCAAGACAAGATAGATGCGCTTCTCGTTGTAGACAACATCATGTATCCTGCACACAGAAGAGTAAAGCTTCTCAAGCGTACCAACACTACAGGTCATCACGCCATCAAATGCGATGGCTTGACTTCACTGGACACACACCACCACCACCATTTCCATTCCACCGATGAACGAATCCCATCATAAAACAACACGCACCCACGGCTGTACAAGAGCAACTCCAGCAGTAGCCCAAAACAGAGCCCCTACTTTTCATTTAGGTGTTCCCCCACTTTTGGGAGGCCCTATTTTCTGGACTGAACTCTAGCAATAGCCCCAAAACAGGGCCCCAACTTAATTCCCTCTATTTTCTCACACACTATATGCATATGTATTTGAGAACATCATATTATACAATAATTTATTTAAATTGTAACAAAAAAAGCACCATGTGTAAAATAATAAATGAAAAATACAAATATTCAAATTTAAATTCAAACATAAATTTGGTCCGATCACAAATTTAAATTCAAACATTCGATCACAAATCAAAAGACACATAGTAATAGTTCACCACGTCATTATCAAATGAAAAGACACATAGCCCTAAACAAAAGGTTTTGTTCTTGCTTCACTAGAGCTGCAACTTGCATTGGACCAAATAAAGCTACCTGTAGCCACTGCCGGCTTGTTAGACCAACGAATCGATCGAGCACGGATATATGCGTAAGCCGATCGATCGGCCCTAGCTAAATCCGTCGTAGTAACAACTAGAAACAGCAGGGCAATGTAAAAGGGGGAATATAATGGAGGAGGGAGGACAGAACAGGTTGCAGGCGCAGCGGACCTGACGATGTTGCGGTGGTTCATCTCCTTGAGGAAAGAGATCTCATGGATGGCGGTGGCCGGGACGCCCTCGTCCTTGTGCACGATGCAGATCTTCTTGAGCGCAATCGGCTTCTTGGTGGCCTTGTCTAGCGGATCTTCTCCAACTTCTCGTGTATT